GAGGCCACAACAGTGTGAGGCCCGCGTACCACAAAAAAAAAAAAAAAAAAAAAAAAGAATCAACATTTCTGCATCATTCAAGTATTTGGTGATGATAGTAATCCCTGCAATTCCTCCAAAGATGTCTTATTCTTTTGGTTTACTATCCTGGTAGGGAAGAGAAATTCCAATAGCTTCCCTTTGACCCTTCATATCCTAATGACCCTTCATAAATGAGAGAGCTAACACGGGGACACAATCAGTTGCCTAGTATGTCTTTAAGTTGCACATTCTGGAACTGGAGAAAAAACACAGGGTGGGCTCATGGACCTACTGGGATTCAAACTTGGCATGTAACTCAATTTATCACCTGACCACCATAAACCTCCATTTTGAATGTTGGACCAGTTGCATTTTGAAACCCTAGCAATCAGCATCAATTCAGAGTCAGGGTGTAGTAATCTCCAAAAGTTCTAGATATTTCTATTCCCCAAAGCACATTCACTCTAGAAAATGGCCACAGGTCCCTTTGGGGAAGGCTTCACGCGGACCTCAGTTGTGGCTCACAGGCTCTAGAGCGCATGCTTAGTAGTTGTGGCGCACAGGCCTAGTTGCTCCGCGGCATGTGGGATCTTCCTGGACTAGGGCTCAAACCCATGTCCCCTGCATTCTTAACCACTGTGCCACCAGGGAAGTCCCTGCATTTTACTTTTTATATTTTAACTTAAAAATTACTATTTTATAAAAGTGAGTTGACTTTTCCAGCTCTCCAGTTTGGACTCTAATAATAGGCAATCAAATAGCACTGAATAAATATAAACCTTGTTAAAAGTACCTAAAAATTGCGCATTTGAGGATATTGAAACAAGTATCATCAGTGTACATTTCACTTGCTTTATCACTTCATCTACATTTGATTTGCTAATCTTAACTCTTGTCATTATTGACAAATGTTATTTCTCCTCACAAGAACTACAGAACTATATTCACTTTTTTCCAGTACCTTTGCTATTCTTTGAAAAAAATGTTTCTACCATTAAGAATTTAAACCAGAATCATGAAATGACAATAGAAAACACTCATCTGGCTTGACAGGTAATATAGCCTGTGTGGTCCTCCTGGTGTAAAGATAAAATTCCACCTTCCACCAAAAAAGCACCTCTTGAATTCAACAGAGAATGACATTTCTACAGGAATAAATGTGAATTTTCTCATATTTAAGAAGTTATTTATTTTAGCCATAAATAAGAACTTGTTCATGAAGTGCTTCATACATGATCATGATATTCTAAGGATACAGATTAGAACCACTATTTGAAGGTATCACAGGCAGCTGAAAGTCAGGAGCTACTGATCTGACAACTTTATACTTCAAACTTACAGTGCTACTTTAATTTTGGCCTGAAGGATGATTAAAACAATTGGGGAGGGGGCCGAAAAAGAAAAGCTTGATTATTCAACTAATTGAATTAACCCTTTAGACATTTTTAAAAAAATTTATTTTGGGCTGCGTTGGGTCTTCATTGCTGCGTGCAGGCTTTCTCTAGTTGCGGCAAGGGGGGGCTACTCTTCATTGCAGTGTGCGGGCTTCTCTCATTGTGGAGCATGGGCTCTAGGCGCACAGGCTTCAGTAGTTGTGGCACATGGGCTCAGAAGGTGTTGCTTGTGAGCACTAGAGTGCAGGCTCAGTAGTTGTTGTGCATGGGCTTAGTTGCTCCGCAGCATGTGGGATCTTCCCTCACCAGGGATCGAACCCATGTCCCCTACATTGGCAGGCGGATTCTTAACCACTGTGCCACCAAGGAAGCCCCCCCTTTAGACATTTTTAAAGTAACATTTAAAGCCAACCTGAAAGAGTATTATTTTGGAATTTTTGCCATTTAAGATAACATTTAAATCTAAAAGAAAATCATCCTCCAGAACTCAAAAAAAGTAAAGGGATTTTTCCCCCCTAGGACCTTATAAACAAGAAGTTCTCAATAAAAACTGAGAGAAATGATTTTTCAACAAAGAATTCTTTATCTTGCTAGATTATCAGTGCAACAAATATAGGTTTAGACACACTGGTTGAGGCTCAAAAAATGTACCTCCTACACACTCTATTTTCCACCACAGCAGAAGAGGAAATCAAGAATGAGAAGAATGAAGAATCTAGGCTACAGAAGTGACAAAGTAGATTCTCTGGATAAGGACAGGAAATGCCTGTATGATAGCTGAGCAACATGCTTGGCAGAAAACCTTTCCACATTGGAGGACAGAGGGCTGGCTCCAGAAGTATTCCAGGGGTAAGAAATGACCTGATATTATATTGAAAATTATGAGATCCTTTCCAGAGTTACTGGAGAATATGGTAAGATCAAGTCAGAGGCTAGAAGAAAATGAGACCATTATTAACTTCTGGAATAATAAAAAAGTAACATAAAAAATAAATTCAACCATAGCAGGCTACTTGGTTTAGCAGTAAACAGAGTTTATAGTCATCAAAATGAAAATACTGAAATTTGGGATGTATAAAGATTGAAATATTAATATATTAGAAAAATGGTGGAGTAAAATAAGTAAGCAAAATTTCCACTCCTTCTAGTAAGAAGTCAATAAATAATGGGCAGATCCAAAGGTAGCAGCAGATTCATATTATTTGGAAATGTACAGGTAAATTCTACAACCACTACATGAGTTGAAAGAGAAAGTTTCCTCTGTGAATGTGAAAAAGGGATTACCTCTTTCTTGTCACAAGTGTTTTGGTACTATATGATTTTTTAAAACTATCTGCATATAATGTTCGAGGGTGGGGGGGAGCAGTAAGACAGAAAGAGACAACAGTTTTACATTAAAAAACAACCTCCAAATTCTCTAAGAAAAGTGAACATGATCACACCTAAATCCATCCACTCTGGTTTTTTTTTTTTTTTTTTTTAAAATTACAGATACGTAGATACTCTTTTACAGACGTCCTTTATTAATTGGTATTTTCCTTAGCATACTTTTATTCTTATGTACCCATCTTATCTCTTTTAGGAAAAGTTTGAAATAGATGTTAGTTTAATAATGTAAGTAAAGAATAGCAAGGAAAGATTAGTAATATTAGTTTAGTTTGGTGCATATATTGTTGTTGATAACTGAAATTCATAGTTCAGGCTTTAATTCATAATTGCGTATTAGCTGCCGCCTCTAATGAAGACTATTCCAACACCCCACCAAAACATCTGTCAAGCTATTTACCAAGACAAAAACTATCAGTAATACTAAAAACCAAGACTAACAGATAACCTAACACTGAAATCTAGAATTAAACTCCATAGACACATGGCAGGTAAAACTGAATTGAGGAAAATTGAATCAGGCTTTACTTCCTTAATTAAAGACCCTCTGAAAAAAGGTGGGGAGACACTTTTGCTTAACTGCCACCTTTTCTCATGACTCAGAGACCCAGATTCTGCAGTAACCATTAACCAGCTAATTCTCACTCTCACTGATTTTTTAGGTAGCCGTATTTGTGTGTCCATTGAGAAGCAATAACTTCGAGAAATTCATCAGGACATATGGGGTGGACGGGTACATGCATATTTTGACCTATATTCTCTATAGTAAAGCCTAGAAACATACTGGAGCTAATTAAATTTGGCAAATAGGGAAATATAATTTTCCACATACCCTGCTAGTTTAGAGGGTCTGAGAACCAAGCAGTGAGATTAAGAGCAATATCCACCTTGGCAAAACTACATGATGTTAATGAGTGCCTGCAAAATATTGTGAATTAGATCCAAAGTAGTGAATATAAACTGTTTTTTTTAGCAGAAAGGTGCTCAACCTCAGCACCATAGATATTTTGGACTGTATAATTCTTTGTTTGGGGAGCCTGTGCTATGCGTTACAGGCTGCTTAACCACATTCCTGACCTTTACTCTAGCTGCCAGTAGCACACCCACTCTCCCCAGTCTCAACAATCAAAAAAAAGTGTTTCAGACATTGCCCAATGTCCCTTGGGAGCAAAATTGCCCCCAGTTGAGGACCACTGCAACAGTAGGTCTCAAAGGGGGCGTGATTGAGTCTTGACAGCTCTTGCCCTATTTAAGGATCAGTAAAGGAGAAGGAATCAATACAGAGTCTATTTTTAAAATACTGTAGTTCAAGGGAAAAAAAATATTACCCAAAGACTCAGAGAAAAAGCACAACTTTGAAAATGATGTACTTCAAGTTCCAGGAAAAAAAATAATTCTTAGATTATTCGAAGTACTCAACAGAATGCAAGGCCTCCAAATGAAGGGGGTTGGAAAATGGGATAAGTCATGCAGAGAAAACAAAACAGCAAAATGTAGTGAAAAGATGGAAGGAGATAGGTAAAATCTCCTTGTGTGGAAATTTTTGGCAGATTTTGTTTTAAACTGATGGTACATAGTGTTGGTAAGAGGTAGTAAAAAAAAAAAAAAAAAAAAAAAAAAAAAAGAATGCTCACAGAGATTGAAAGAATAGAAATAAAGTTGGAATTAGCTGATTCAGATTCTAGACTCAGCTCTGCTTCTAATTGTGTAATTTTATAATCCTACAAGCAAATTTAAGGAAATCTGTATGTATGTGAGCTTATTCATTAATATCGACCCTGAGAGTCTCTCCTCCCCTGCTTCCCAGTCTTTAAAAGCCTGAAACAGTTCCATACTGGTGGTATGGTCTCAAACAATATGAAACACAACTTTTGAAGAAATAATATGAAACACGGGAACATGAAAAAACATGCATAAACATAAAATCTTTGCTCTACTTCCCTTCAAGAGCCCTAAAACATATCATCACATCTGTCAATAATTTTTATTTTACAAAAGGAAACTTCAGTAATTTAGAAGAAAATCATTATGCTTAAGGTTCTCTCCTCAAATTCTCAAATGACAATTGCTTTTGTTGACTACAAATTAACTTGAAAGCGTGCATTTTAAAAAGTTGAAACACTTAAACCACTTCCACCTAATTTTTTCTAATGATAAATAGCTCCATATGGAGTATAAATAGAAATGATTAAGATTGACTCTGGTTTTAAAAGTGGTATCACCTGTGTTGCCACAAAATAGTGGTGAGGATTCCCGTCTTCCACCATGGAAAGCAGACATTCTGATCCACTCACTGAATTCTTGAAATGGGGACAGTTTCGAACCTGGCATTTTTGTGCAATCAGCTTTGCCCCACATAAGTCCTTTCCCAATGTTTCCAACTCTTTTAACACACACCTGAAAAAAAAAGTTATTAGCAGCTCACAATTATAACAGATGCACATCTGTTGTTCACATATATTATAAAAAAAAATACTCAATTCTTCTTTTTAAACTACAAACCATACATTAAGCATTTCACTCTTAAAAGACCCGAAAAATGCATACACCAAGTAGAAGGAACATAATAAACAGTTAACATGTACTAAGCATTTATGATGTGCAGGCAGCATGCTAACTGCCTTTAAATAAATTCTCACTTATCTCAAAACAGCCCTACAAAGTTGGGCAGCTTACTTTATTTTTTTTCTACTTTTATTCTATTTATTTATTTTTATTAATTTTTCTTGGAGTATGGTTGCTTTACAATGTTGTGTTAGCTCCCACTGCAAAACAAAATGAATCAGCCACACACATACAGATAGCCCCTCCCTTCTGGACTTCCCTCCCATTCTGATTAGCACAGTGCATAAGGTAGAGTTCCCTGTGCTACACAGTATGAGGGCAGCTTACTGTAAAATTATCCTTATTTTAGAACACCTCATTCTGAGAGATTTCAAGTAACATGCCCAAATTCAAACAATAAGAGGTAGAGTCGAAATGTGAATCTAAGTAGTTTGACGATAGATGCTTTGCACCAACCACAGTGCTACAGGCTTCTCCTTCAAGTGCAAATCGGTGCACTTTCAGAATATTTTCAGCTTAGAAAAGTAAACATTCTCAAGTCACCAGCGTGTTTAAAAACAATCACAACTTTCTTTCACTTTGCATTTTCATATTAATATCAGGCAATGTTTTTCAAAGTGTCATCTATAAACTTACCCCTATCGGAATGACGCGGTGATATTAATTTCTAGCTCCTTTCTCATCCCCAAATCTTAACTCCTTGTGGAGTCAAACATTAGCATCTTAATAAGCTCCCCAGGTACTTCCTCTTAAAAATTACGAAAACTACTGAGTCAAAGATTTCTCAACCTTAGCCAGCCCTTGCCTGACTCTACCTTGCCTCACCCGCTTTATCACACCATTAGTTTTTGCTTTTTTTAAGAGATTTTGCTTCTAAAGTCATCCATTTTGAACTCCATTTTGAGTTTCAGGCCTAAATTGCCAAATACTTATTGAATATTTCCTGTGGATGGCCCGCCATCAGCTCTTCGTCAAATTCACGATGTCTAAAATCAAACTACTTTCCTGCCTCCAGACTTCTCCAGGGCTTGCTATCTCTTCGAACTTATTATCTTCTCAGATACTGTTTCGAAATCAGAAATCCTATTTAACCTTTGCTTCCTCACTCCTACCCCTACCCCTACCCCATCGGTGGTAGTCCTATCTCAGCTGTTGGTATCTACCTCTGTAACGTCTCCTTGTGAAGTTCTCACCTCTCCTCTCTCAGGTTCAGGCTCCCATTATTTCTTGCCTAGACAACCACAAAACGGGTTTGCCTGTCTTCATTCTCTTGCTTCTCCAACTTACCTCTCACATAGCTGCAGTCATCTTTTCTAGAAGATACTTATCAGGTCTGATAGCATTTATCTCTTGATACACACCAAGAATTGACAATAATATGCTTTAAAATAAACTAGCAGTAACTTATTCTGAAATGAACAAGAATGGCCATGTTGGGACTTCCCTGGCGGTCCAATGGTTAAGAATCTGCCTTCCAATGCAGGGGACGCAGGTTTGATCCCTGGTCAGGGAACTAAGATCCCGCAGCCCACGAGCCACAACTAGAGAGAAGCCTGCACACCTCAACGAAAGATCCCACATGCCCCAACTAAGACCCACCCAAGGTAGCCAAAAAAAAAAAAGAATGGCCATGTCAATAATTGCAATAACTGGGTGACAGACATTTTCGTTATACTATTTTTGTGTATGTATGAAATATCCCAGAAGTTAAAATAAATTCTTTAGGGGGAAAAATGCTGCAGAATATAATTTCATGCAGTACTTCTCAACCTTTTTTATATTACAGCCCTGTATTAAAAATGTTAATATTTCTATGGCAGACAGGGGTAAGTGGACAAGGCTTGTAGCCAGAAGCAATCAACTCTGGGGCACAGACCATCTGAGAACTTGTCTGGGAGCTCTGAAGGAGATGGGGATCAAAACTTAGGGGGTATCTATGACTCATTTGAGGCTCTGCTTGAATGAAACCCACATGAAGTTCTGAATATAGAAAGCTGTTCATGGAGTAGTGTTATGTGAGAAAAGCAGGCCATTAATATCACATGCAGAGTAAGAGCCCATTCGTGTGTGTGTGTGTGTGTAAAGAACTGGATGATACACCACATGCTAACAGTGGTAAGTCACTGGTGTGGTACTATAGGTCATTTAAATTTTCTCTGTTCACTTTTTAAAGGAAATATTCTACAAAGGAAAAAAAAAAACAAAACTAAGTTTATGAATAGTAGTTCTTCATTATGCAGCCTCAACTTATCTTCTTCCCAGCTTCTTTCCCAAATATACACTGTGCTCTAATCTCTTTTCCTGGCATTTCACAACTCCACTCCACTCCTTTGTTCAAGAGGTCCCTACAAGTCACTTCTCTTTTCTTTCACTCAAAAAATGTCCTTCCCCTCAGAACTGAACCGTGACTGGCCTCAAAAGATATCTCCTCTGTGGAACCTTCCCTGATTCCATCCTTCCTGCAATCAACGCCCCAAGATTCCATCTTAGGTGTTCCCACACTTTGAAAAAGTGAGGAAACTAGGGGTCAAAACACACCAATTAGAGGTTGATTTATGCACTTTGCTGGCCATACGGGCTGGGAGATCATCCTGTTCATCAAGTCATCCTCTGGCTAGAGCAGTGCTTGGCGTATGGCTGGTGCTCAATAAACACAGTTCAATAAACAAATGACCTTGCACAAAGTTAGGAAACATCGAGTCCTGACTTATCTTTCTGGGAATCGAAGATATTACATCATGGGGCAGTTGTGAAGCTTGAAAAATTCTTAAACTGGGAAAAGGTATGCAAACAACAAGCAATCAAAGGATATAGGTCTGAGATACCAATAAACGCTCTACCTATACTATACCTCGTCCGACTTATAGCAAGTTTGTAAGTAGTTACGAGCTTTTTTCTACAAATGAGTAATCCAAGGCCCAGAGAGGTTAAGTAACTTGCCCGAAATCACAAAGCTGGTAGAACTGGGCCCAATACTGGAAACCAGGTCGAATGGCAAAGCACGTGTTCTTATCCTCCAGGCTAAGATGAATACTCGCCGGACCTTATACTGTCTATCTACTTGGTAGATACTCGCCCACCCTCTTTAGCGGTCCCGCTGAACTGTCTACTCGTGGGCGGCGCGTTTTGCCCCTCGAGGGCTCCCAATGGATGCCTGCGAGCAGCGGCCTCGCCTCTACCGCACCCCCGCGCCTCCACCCGGACCAGCCAGGCCCACCTGGTGGTGCACAGCTGAGTCTCCCCCATGAGGTAGCGGGGCAGCTGCTCCCGCAGCTGGATGCGGCCCCGCAAAGCCGCCTGACAGAAGGTGCCGTCCAGCAGGATCTGGTACGGCTCGCGGACCCCAAAATTGTTGCGGAAGAAGCCAAGATGCTTCTTGGCGTGTTTCTGCCTCGTGATCTTCATGCCTGGCTTTCCCGGAGCGAGCCACCGGACCAGAAAGCAGCAGCGAACTGCCCCCACACAGCCCGCTATCGGCAAGACGGACTTCTCCCGGAAATGAAGAACCCTTGGCCCCGGAAGCAAACGCCCCATCTGTGGGCCTGGTTTACGTAGTCACTCCCAAACGAGAGCGCGCTTTACACGGTGCCCGCGCTTTAAGGGACACGCCCTCGGGGGCGGAGCTTGCGCGTAAGTGGGAAAACGACTAAGTGCGAGATTAGAGGCGCACATGCGCAGTCATGGTCCAGGTTAAAAAAAATACACGCTGCCTCTTGCGCCGTTACCTGGCACTGCGTCTGAAAAATCCGCGGTATAATAATAATCAGTTAAAATATTGAGCCTTAATACGTCCTAGGCACTGTTCTAGGTAATATACCTTATATTTTTCCCTTTAATGTTAATAATTCTCAAATGAGGGAAGAAAGCGACCAAAGTATATTGTGCGACTATGATTGGGCAGGTTTGTAGTGATTGCCTTCCTATAAAGAAGTTAAGCACGTTTACTAAGGGCACGTGGTTCTTTAGTGTCAGAACTATCACCGGAACTCAGGTCGCCTGCCTGAAGTTCAAATATTCTTGCACAACCCCTCACCTCCCGCACACATTCCCGCCATAGGACCACTCCCACTGAAAAGCCAAATGTCAGGGCAAAAAGTCCCCATCGTTTTGCATTTCCTCTTCTCCTGGAGACCCTCCTAAATCACTCGCAAGGAGTGTTTCCGGAAGACTTATTCAAGAACTTCGTTTTCCAAGAGTCAGTGTCCCTAAACTAGAGTGCTAATTCTGCCCCACACCCAAACCATTTGACCTTGAGCAACTCCCCAAGAAACCTGGGTTCAGCTTCCTCACTGTCAAATAGGTTGGCAGGGCTAGATGACTTTTAAGAACAATTTTTATGTCTATAGTCTCTGAGGTAGGAGAACGACATACTGGGCTACTCACAGGGAGGTACAAAGCTGACCGAAAGTTTAGAAATTACTTGCTCAACTTGATTAATGAAGAGAGTAAATCTGAAAATTTTGAGTTCCCCCGTGGCTAACTGCCACATATGCACTTCAATTCTAGGCAAAATAACCAAAGAATGGGGAGTATGGAATTTTGCATTTTTTATTCTGGCCTGGAATCTGTCCCAAATCTCGTTTTAGCTAAAGTTTGAGAGAAAGAACCAATGCAGAAAAATAACTTACAAAGTGATCGAGATGTGTTATTTGCATTTGGGGTTTTATTTGAAGATACAGGTTTATGAAATTGGAACCAAAATCTTCTATAATGTTAACCCTGTCTTGATTCACAACACAACACCCCTTAGATGACTGCTTTCATTTAACTGAAAATAAATTTAGGAATTGGAAGACATGAAGAATTATTGTAGGATTGGATTCATGGTTCTTGAGTATAATTGCTCATGACCTTCCAATCTGAATACTCTCTTTATCCCTGTGTGCCAACCCCCCACTCCGACTATAATCCCGCCAAAGACAGAAAATATACTATCCCAGCTTGCAAAACAGTTAAAACAGTTTTAAAAACAGGCTCACAGATTTATCTACCAGCTCCATCCTGTTAGCCACGTTTCACTACTAAGAAAAATGAGGTTCAGGACTAGGGATTTGAGTCATACTCTAGTTTTTTTTTTTTTAATTTACTAGACTGTAGCATTTTTTTCAAGCTCTATGTATATGACAATGCTATTTACACAACTGACCCTTATTTCACAAATAAGAAGACAGTCTATACTGCTGATTATCAAGTTTAAAACAGAATTTTCTGTTACAGCAGTGTTTCTCAAAACATGATCCTGGGACATGCAGAAAAGTTCTTAGTGTGCTTGTTTAATATGCCCATTTCTGATTCAAAACAAGTACTGAGGGAGAGGGATACTAATCAGAGAGAAAGTGACATTTATTACAATATCCCCAAGTCATTTATTATGCATTTTGGTGTTCCAGAAGGACTGTCTGCAGTAAAACATCACTGTTTACCCAATGGGACATTTTCATTAAATGGTCCACTGAATACATTTTGGCCTGATGCCAAATGACCTAGTATTGGAAAATCAATATTTGGCCACAACAAGGGCAGAAGCCAAATATTGCCATTATTGGAGAAACTATTTGGATATAAGTTTAAATCTGAAATTTTACTTTGAAAATTATTATAATATTATTAAAAATTTTTAATTAAAAATTTTAATAGTCATTGAAAATTTTTTTGACCTTAGAGTGCAGGAACAGTAATGTCTCAGCATTGCTAGCTGCTATATTTTTCCTCAGGTCAGTACACTGGATACTTTCCAGGCCAAACAGACATTCAGTTGAGGTAGGGGATTAATTTATTTTTCTTTATTTTTTCATACTCTTCATATTCTTTATTACATCTGGATCAAATATAATTTATAATATGATGTTGTTGTACATGATTTTGAAGTTCTTTCTTCATGAAATTTTGATGAAGCCAAGTTGACCTGAAAATGATTTATTCCTGCAAGGTATGACTAATTCCAAAACAAGAATTTTCATGAAAGATTCATGTCCTAAATGGAATTAAATAGGTAAATATTAAATACAATTCATAAAGGTTATTTTGTTTAATTTCATAAATACTAGTATACCAAATAATTCAGCAAAGATATCTATTGTGATATTATTCTGCCTTATATTCATATTTAAATATTTGTTAACATCCATTAGCTCCAAAGGGATACAACGTTTTCCCTAACGTTATCCAGCTAACATATTCTTCAAATAAATAATTTCCTGAAATAAATAATTTAAAACAACTTAGGTAAACTGGTTTGTATTGAGGGCTTATTAGTCCTTCACTAAGATCCCCTAGGATAAACTCCATCTGGGACTTGCTTACTGTGAATTTTTATACATAGGGGAAGGTGTTATGAAGGTTGGTTCTGGAGGCTGCCACGTTTTTAAAAATCATCCTTACAGTTTTCAAATTACAAAAATAACACATGCCTGTTATAACAAGAGGAACAATGGAACAATACAGGACATTCATCTCCTCTTCCTTGCCCAAATAACACATGTTAATCTACTGTGTAACTTCTGTAATTTTTTTAATATTCATATACTTATTTGCCTACATATATGCATACATATGTAGAGATTTTTGTCACTCTATGTTATTCAAAGATAAAATCATATTTTATCACTTCTGTACATTTTGCTTTTCTTACCCAACAATCCTTGTGGAAATCCTCTCCACACATACTCCAAGTCAATTGCCATAGTTCTTATTCATTATTTTTAATGGCTGCATGAAATTTCCCACAAAATCACCACATTTAACATAATGACTGTGACACAGACTGTAAATTGACGCTCAATATCTCTTCTCTTTAGTAATAGGATCCTAATTTTATTCTGGACAATAGTGTACCCAGAAAAGAGAATCCATTTCCCAGCCTTCTGTGCAGTCAAGTACAGTCATACGATTAAGTTTTAGCCAAGGGTATGTAAGTATAAGTGTGACAAGGGACTTCTGGGAAAGCTGCTTAAAGGAACTTAACTTGGTGATGAGCACTTTTGTTTTTTTTCCATTGCCTTTCTAACCACTCCCTGGAATTTGGATGTGATGAAGGGAACCCTAGCAGTGTATTTTAGACCAAGAAGTACACTTGAGGATGGAGGCCATGTGCTAAGCCAGCAAAGTAGATAACAGAAGCAGCCTGAGCCATCAATGACTATGAAACTACCTTTCCAAATCTAGACTTTCTACCTCTGGCCTTGTTTTACATGAGAAGAAAAATAAACTTCTATGTAAGTTAAACAAAATTATTTTCTTTTTATTTTTTGAGACTATTGTTTTTAGAGCAGTATTAGGTTTACAACAAAATTGAAAAGAAGATATAGAGACTCCCCATGTAGCCCCTGCCTCCACACATGCATAGCCTCCCCCATTATCAGCATTACTCAGGACTTTGCTGGTGGTGCAGTGGTTAAGAATCCACCTGCCAATGCAGGGGACATGGGTTTGAGCCCTGGTCTGGGAAGATCCCATATGCCGTGGAGCTACTGAGCCCACATGCCACAACTATTGAAATCTGTGCATCTAGAGCCCGTGCTCTGCAACAAGAGAAGCATGTGTGTAGCCCCCGCTCTCTGCAACTAAAGAAAGCCCGTGTGCAGCAATGAAGACCCAATACAGCGATAAATAAATAATTCATTAAAAAAAAATCACTCACCAGAATGGTACATTTTTTTCAACCAAGAAGGAACCTACATTGATAAACTGTTTCTTTTATATGCAGCCAAACCCAATCTTAATTGACAGAGTATGTTAAAACTACTTGCCAGAATTAGAGAATTTTATATTGGCAGATGTTTTTGATAAAAGTTTGATGTTGGTTAGTGTTTGCCAATACAATTACCCTTTCTTTGAACAGGTTCAAAATCCTAGTTTATAAGTTTTCTGTGAAAGGTAAAAAACTTTTTCAAAGTAAAATAAACTAAATCCTTTTTCCATACTATAGAAGTTATCTTGACATTTGTTTCTTTTGAACGTATAAACAATTTGATTTGAACTGAGAATGTCAGTGGGATATATCTCCTGTTTGGAAAAGTTAGTTAAGTACGAAGAACCCCAGCTGCTTGGGCAAGAAACATCAAGGAAATGTTAGTGTCACCCAGTTGTCAATCAAAGAAAGCGAGCAGAATTTCTGTCTGTTGGCCCAGCTAGTACCAGTGGGCTCTTCCTTAAATGACAAAGGAGAAACTGTCTCTTGGAAAAAAATTTCAAGGGATTGCTCTTTGTCAAGGATATTTCTAAGCAAGACAGTGATCAGAAAGTAGTTCACCATTGGTTATCAGATGACTGTTGTCAGATGGCTGTAAAATTAGACTAGCAAATTTGCTTGCTAAATAGTTTATTTGAATGAAATTATACAGAGAACAAATACTGCCATGTGAGGTAAGTTGAAAGGAATTTATTATTACACAATAGATCTGAATAGTGCTCTCCATTGGGATTTTACTACAAAATGTTCAG